CAAGGAAAAAAGAGACATAAAGTTGGATTATGTCTGGTGACCCATATGTGTAAGCTACCAGGAAATGAATGGAAAGCATAAATATCCCAGTTAAAATAATTATGACTGGGAGACTGTGGAATCTGCACTATAATTTGATGTGATGATATTGGAAACAGAGGTATAAATCCTGTTATTAACTAGAGAGGCTTGATCCAGTGTATGCCTGAATTGGTTTCATTCATTACCATCAACACAAAGGCTACATATAAAAAATTTCCTACATTAATCCTGTGCATCTGGATATTTATATATCTCTCTAGAATTCAAAGATATTTCCAAAGGATTAAATATTTGATTGTTTAACAAAATAGGACTTATTTTTCAGTAACATAATATGAATATGGGGAATAAGATTATATTATGATTAGAGAAAAAACAGAATGAACATTTAAATGAGTAGATAAATGTAAAGACTTATTAAATATCATTGCACTGTATGGAGAGAAACATTTTACTGAATTTCAAAAGGCAAGAGCTGGTTGTGAGACATGTCAGAGACAGACATGTTTGGTATAGATATTAAAAATTCAAGAGAATTTCTATAAAGTAGTTGACAGCATATTCAATCATTCATTTATTATAGATAAACCTACATTTATACTTTATATATCAATCCAATGCTACATAATTCATGTTGCTATCAAAATTATGCTGTCTTTTGCCTTTTGGAATACGTTCAGGGGGACTTGTATTCTTTTTGTTTTTTTAACCTTTTTAAGTACACTTTCATTAATACATGTTTTTCATATATAATAATTACATTCACTGTAAGGAATTGGCACATATACATAACACATTTAAATTCCTTTTTCCCCTTCCCGCTACACCCCATTTTATTTTTCCAGCATCAGATTCATTTATCTTATAAGACTGTAAGAAGTTAATTATCATATGCACAGATTAGAACCAAACAAACAGGCCAAAGAACAAATAAAACATGTGAGACAATTGTATTAAGTCTAAGTACACTTGTACATACATTGTCTGTGCTGGATTGAAATATCTTATTTTCTCTCTCTTTTTCTCTATTTTCTGTCTCTTCTTTTGTACTTTATATGTACTGAGTTTTTCACATAAGAGAAACCACGCAATAATTAAGCTTGTGTGTCTGAGTTACTTCACTTAATATTATGAAGTAGATCTATTTTCCTACAAATGACTCAAGTTAATCCTTCATTGAAGGAGACTCCTGCAGTCAGGTTCCAGTACCCACCTGTCCAATGTGCGACTCAGGCCTGATAAAAAGAATACACTAAGAGACAAAACTAAGAGACAGAAGGTGGGGTTCCAGGACAACCAATGCTGGGGAAACCGACAAAGGCACTGGACAGTCCCAGGCACTGACTTTTATTGGAAATCAATTGGGGTAAAGGTGATGTGTGGTTTCTATGGAAATTAATGTAAACAAGGCTCATAAAGGACAAGACAAAGGATTCTCACATTAGGAATAGAATAGACAAAATCTACTATAGTAACTAGAACATTGTCCCTCTAGTCTGAAGATTTAGTTGTGGGAACGAATTTGGGTATGAGTTACTCTGACCTCTGCATGTAGGCTTTGTCCAGAATCACTTCTATAAACAAGCCAATTGTGGGGTTAACTCTTTACAGTCTGCTTTGAGCATAATCAATATTACAGTCCTCTGCACTTCATTATGGCAGAGCAGTACCCGTTGTGTATAAATACCACATTTTCTTCATCCATTCATCTGTTGGTGGACATATAGGCTGTCTCCGAGATCTAGCTATTATGAATCGTGCTGGTGTAGACATGGGTGTGTATGTATCACCATGGTATGATACCTTTAATTCCTTTGGGAAGATTTCTAGAAGGGGCACCTGTGTTCTCTTGACTTGCCTCCACTGTTTTCTTTGTGAAGTGCTTATTTACTTTATAATACTACACAGTTCTTGAAACTCATGTAATTATCATGGACACTTCTTCTATTGGCCATTTGTTGTAGTAGTCATATTTCTTTTTTGTTGAAGAATGATAGTTAGAAATAAAGTCACAGACTGGGGATATTGTGGATATTTTTGCTATCACTGGATTGACATTTTTACGTTAATCAGCAGGAAGAACTGCTACAATTAACTTAGCTATACACGGACGCTTACCTTTGAATGAAGAAATATTTATGTTTCTCTGTCTCTCTACTTGTGCCTTTGTATGCATTAAATTAAAAATGAGCTCAATATAAAATGTCTACCTTTGAACGCCAGGAATAAAATAGCTATCATTAAATAGCTTTGAAAATATAAATTTCCTGAATCTAAACAGAGTCTAGAATATTATGCCTGTCACAAACCCACCAAAACCTGTATGTTTGTTCATTTCATAAAGTACCCAGTCCTTCTATTTACAAGAGCCAGACTGCTCGAGTATGATTTAATTGAAACAGCTCAGTTTCTGCTTGAATATCTACATTACATTTGGCAATATTTTGAAGAGCTTTTTGTTCAATATACCTACCATCTTGCACTAATTGTATCCAAATTAATTAAGGAAAAGTTAATACATGTCACATTCTCTTACATTAAGAAAATGGTGGAACTGTACTTTAAATATAAGAGCTTTCATTGTATTCACAACACAATAGGCAGGCAGATATTTTATGTAATATTATCAAAGAAATAAAGCAAACATTTGGTTACATTTTCAAAGGTGTAAACAATTATTAAAGCAAACAAACAGAATATAGACAAGTGATTAGAGTTTTAAAATAACCAATCAATAGATTATCTTAATTTTGTCTATTACAGAATGTCAAAATTGAAAGTTACCAGATTCATTTATTAAATTTGTGCTAGGCTACCTTTTCTTTATTAGTGTTTTTGGACTTAGTTGTACACATGTGTATGAAAATTTCACTAGTTGCTAATGTACTACTCCAAAGAGGAGAGAACACAAAAGGAAAGTATGTGTTGTTGCTCTGTATGACCCTGGTGTATTTTTCATTGCCTGGTGGATTCCTTGTTGTATTCTAAATTACATAATGCTATCTTAATGGTTTAGAGGAAAATGAGGCTTAAAGAGGTGAACAAGCAGTTCAAGTGTCTTAATTAGCCCATTTATTTTACAAATATACCTCTGAAACAGGCACAGTTAATTGAAGGCTTTGCTGGTCTTCTCACCAAGACCTGTTGCCTTGCAGAAAGACTCTCCTCGTTTGTATGTACCATGGTGCTGTCTCCTCATGTGTGCTGCTTAAGCCCTACTCAGAAGGACCAGGATAATTGTCACAAATGAGGTCAGAAAACCAAGAAATGCATTTGAAGACATTTTTCAAAAACATTTTTACAATGTGACATTTTCAGTTTTAATTGTTGAGCAGTTTAAACAGAATTGCAGCACTATGTTCTTTATGTTTGCAGTTTCCATCCATCTTAATTTTGAACAACTACTGATTTTTCTTAGGAGTTCTTTACTGTTAGCCTGAAAATAAATTCTGTTATAATACTTTTCATGTTGATGGAGATTTCTAAAAGATTTAAGATCTTCCACAATCTGAACCAACTATCCAGTGGCCTAGTTCTGATCTCAGGCATTTCTTCTATCAGATGAATTTGCCAACACATTTTTCTTTTCAGTTTTATAATACTAAAAACAAAAACAAAAGCTGATGTAATAAAAGTCCTATTTTCTTGCCTACTCCAAGAAAAATAAAATTTAACATGTCCTCTCACAGGGTCTTGACACTAATATGAGTGCTCCTTGATATTTTTTTTTCTGCCTCAAAAGACATTATCTGAATGGTTGTTTTTCTCATCCTAACAAGACATGAGGCAGTAGAATGCTCCTATGTATTTTCCTGTGCCACAGGCAGATTTGTAGCCCTTCACATGTAACTGTGGACAACATAATAACTGCCGTGCCATGCATAATAACAACCTTCATGTTGCAGAAGGTACTGGGACCATAATGTTGCCCTGTCTGAAGAGTCAGTAAGCAATTCTGCATTTGAAACTCAAGTTCTCAATCAACACACTACAGTGGACCCCAAGTTATAACCTGACACATGAACAACTTGGTTATAACAGGGATTTTAGTTTTAACTTATGACCAAAGTCTTGAGTGAAGACCCCAATGCCAGCCTCTTGTGTTTCCAGATGATCTCACATACAGATTTAACCCTTAAAGAGTTCTGGAAGGAACATTACACCATTCTTTCCTGTGTGAGGTTGAGAAATTCTGGCCCAATGTCTCTCTAAGGACACAGATCTGACTATGTACAGGAGAGAGACTTTGAAGGCTGTGTAGAGGAGCCTGAGCCTTCCATTGACCAACATGAGTTAAAACCAGTCCCCATGAATGAATTGAGTTTGTAAGTCAAGGGTCCACTGTATATGGTGCTAGAATTAAGCCAAGAGGTGTGATTGATTTATTTATGAACAGAGCTGGAAGGAACGGGCTAGAGAACAGAAGAGGGGTTATTATCTTCAGCTTGGGAATGTAAGAAAACTGAGAATGCTATGGGTTACTATCAGAGTGTGAGGTGGAGTTGATAAGGAGAGCTGCTGTGGCCCCTCTAGATCTGTTAAAATATGCTCTAAGTATGAATTGGTGTTGCTTTGTAGCTATTCTTGCAGCTGGGAGCTGATTCCCTGAATAGAGTCACACACAACAGTGAGCTCTGTGGGGCCTCATTGCATGTGTGCCATACACTGTTTATGCCGCACACTGCACACTGCAGTGGGAGAGCAAAAGGAGCTGCCTGGAGAACTGAGCAGTGGACACAGGAGACAGGAACAAGAAAGCAGGAAAGGAAAGATGATAGAGAAGAATCCTGGAAAAAGCCAAGAGGACAGTACATTTTATGCAGACAGGGTCCTACACGTATGCTTCCTAGGAGGAAGTTACGTATGCAAGGTTTATGATGTTTCCAGGTTTCAGGGAGGAGTGGAGTCCTAAGGGAGCTGTTCAGGGACCTGTGGGGATGTCTTTCAGTCTGTTTCTTTCACTTCTCATGATGGGACCAGAATTTCTTGATGGCATTCTTCATCTCCATATTTCTTAGTGTGTAAATCAGAGGGTTGAGCATGGGGGCAATGATAGTATAAAACAGAACGAACACTTTGTCTTCTGGAAAAGTAGTTGCTGGTCGAATATAAACAAATAGTAAAGGAGCAAAAAAGAGGACCACCACAGTGACGTGGGAACTGCAGGTGGAGAAGGCTTTGCGGCGACTCTCAGCAGAGTAGGACTTGACAGTGTACAAGATCACCACATAAGATATCACCGAGACCACAAAAGTCACCAGGCCCATCAGGCCAGAATTGGTAATGAGGAAAAGGCCAATTTTGCTTGTGTCCATGCAGGCCAGCTTCAGCAAACGATACACATCGCAGAAGTAGTGGTCTATTTCATTGGGAACACAGCAGGGTAAGACAGAGAGGATGAACTGACGAAAGTAAGGCAGGAATCCACCCACACAGGAAGCTACAATTAGCAGGTCGCACTGGTGCCTGCTCATGATGACCGCATAGTGCAGTGGCCTGCAAATGGCCACGAAGCGGTCAAAGGCCATCCCCATGAGGATGAAGAACTTGATGCCCCCGAAGAAGTGCATGGTAAAGAGCTGAGTCATGCAGCCACTGTAGGAAATGGACTTCTTAGTAGCCAGCAGATCAGTGATTAGTTTGGGGGTCACTGTGGAGGTATAGCAGAGGCCTGACAGGGTGAGGTACCTCAGGAAGAAATACATGGGCTGGGTAACAAGCAGCGTGTGTGTGTAGGCGATGGAAACCATGATAAGCAAGTTTCCGATCACGATTGCAATGTAACAGAGCACAAACAGGAAAAAGCAGAGGACTTCTATTTCCTTTTTCTGAGAAAGTCCTAAAAGAATAAATTCTGTGATAGTATTCCTTTGTTCCATGACTTGGAGCAGTTTACAGCCACCTGAAATTAGAGGAATTATTCATCACTGTGCGACACATTTAAATATGGTGGAGATGTCATCCCTTGGCATGGAGCAGATTATACTGGATAAGATTCAAAGATGGAAGAAAATTTTATTTTCACTTAGGAAGATTGGGGGGGGGTGTCATTTTCTTTAACATATCAATTATTATTAACTTTTTTTGATCCCTGAAATGAAGATTAGCATTGTAGAATTAGTTTGTGTGTGTGTGTGTATGTGTGTGTGTGTGTGTGTGTAGCCATTCTATGAGCTTTAGTTAGCAAACATAACTGGATATTGTGCTCAATAGAACTAAAGAATTTACACTTTGGTTTGGAATAATCAGATCTTTTGTCTGTTTATAATTTTAAAATACACAGAAATTAAATGTTAATAGTGAAGATACTTAAAATACAAATATATGAATCTTAATATGTAGATAATACAAGAAAGTTCCCACCATGTAATTTATGTGGAAATGTTATATAGAGAAATCATAAGATGCATTTGCAATCATGAGGTTTCTCTTGTGCTTAATTTACAAATTCATTCAAATTGATAAGTGTACTTGATTTACAATCAGTGCATTATGTGTCACAGCCAACCAAAGGTATAAGAAGAGAAGAATGTGAAATCCATTTATCAAAGCATTATCATCTCAGAGGTGAAAAAATATTTATTTATTTGATATTTAGCAGGATAATAATTGATTTATTTTAGATTTACTCTTGTCCAATGCATTACTTACTTGAATAAATTAACTTATTATAAATTGAT